GGAAAACTGTGTTTTATTCTTAGACTGAAGAGAGTCTTTACAAACAAAAGGCGAATTTTTTAATATATAAAAAGCTCTTACAAATCAGTAAGAAAAAGATAAAAAATGCAATAGAAGAATCATCAGAGGCTCTCAGCAGTCTATTAACAAAATAGAAAAGATAAAATAGTTTAAAATATGGAAGGTGCCCGATCTTGCTCATAAAAAGAGAAATGTAAATGGAAACTCCAGGGAAATTTTTACCTGACCGACAGGCAAAAATCCAAACGTTTAATAACGGTACTGTCTTGGCAGGGGTGCAGGTGACCTGCACTCTCATGCACTGCTGTTGGGGATGTGAACTGACACAGTCTCTCTGGAGGGTAACTTGGCAGCATCTAACGGGAGAAAGACCTGGTGATCTGCTGCCGTAAAGATTGCTGTTGTCAGGTGCCGTCGAGCCGATTCCGACTCACAGCAACCCTGTGTACAACAGAACGAAACGCTGCCCTGGCCCTGCACCATCCTCACAATCCTTGCTATGTTTGAGCCCATTTTTGTAGGCACCGTGTCACTCCATCTCGTTGAGGGACGTCCTCTTTTTTGCTGATCCTCTACTTTATCACTGTAAAGATTACAGCCTAGGAAACCCTATAAAACCAAACCAAACCAAACCCGTTGCCATCGAGTCAATTCTGACTCATCGCGACCCTATAGGACAGAGTAGAACTGCCCCATAGGGTTCCCAAGGAGCAGCTGGTGGATTCGAACTGCCAACCTTTTGGTTAGCAGCTGAGCTCTTAACCACTCTGCCACCAGGGCTCCAGGAAACCTACAGGGCAGCTCTACTCTGTCACGTGGGTTCGCCATGAGTGAGAATTGACTCAAGGGCACCTAACAACACCACCAACAATTAAAAATGGACACAACCTTGGGTCCTGTGCTTCTGCTTCTGGATATGTACTCACGCATAAATGACGGGACATACGTACAAGAATAGTCAGTGGAGCATTTTTACTTCTGAAACTTTTATTTTGAAATAACTGAATACTTAAGTGAAGTTGCAAAAATAGCGCAGTTCCCTTACTCTTCACCTGGTTTTCCCGAGCTTACTATCTTACGTAACCATGGTCCAAATATTGGAAACTAGAAGTTAACACGGATGCAGTGCCATTAGGTGACCTGCGGAGCTTACTGGGTTTCAGCTGTTTTCCCTCAGCTGCCCCGTGTCTGGTCCAGCATCCATTCCAGACCCACCTTGCCTTTGGGCGTCACGTCTCCTTCCGTCTGTGACAGATCCTCAGTCGCCTTGGCTCTCTCAGGACTGGACACATGTGAAGAGCGCCGGCCGGGTGTCTGGTAGAGTGCCCCTCACTTCGGGCTGCTCTGACACCTTCTCAAGGTTAGACTGAGGTGCGTTTTTGGCAGGAGGCCCGTGGAAGGGAAGCCGTGCCCTCTCGCCGCATCAGGAGGTACGCGGTGGTGACAGTGAACCTGTGAGAGCCGGAACTCGACGGGACCGCCTCGTTTTTCGGGTCTTGCGAGTTTCCCGCCTTTGACAGGGTGCAGTCTTACCACTTTTCTGGCGCTCATTTTAGTGGAAAATATCTGAGTTTTCCTTCTCTGACAGGTTTCCGCCTTACACAGGTTCCAGCTTTCGCAGATGTCACTGTATCTCACTCCTGGTGCCGTTGACTGGGATCGCTGAGTTAGGGGGTGTCTCAGCTTTCTCCACAATGAAGTTACTATTCTTCCCTTTGAAGCTACTAAGAATGTCGCGGGGGATACTGTGAGATTATGCAGATGTTTCTCACCGTTCCCTACACATCCATCCGTAAGTCGCGGCTGCCACAATACTGCTGTGGTGTTTGCCTGCTGGGGATTTTCTGTTTCCATCATTTTTTACGCGTTTACTAATTGTGTCTCTACAATGAGGAAGAGCTGGCCCTGCTCTGCTTATTTGTTCAATTGTTTATATCACTATAGACTAATATTTGTTTTATTCGCCGGCTTATAACTCGTTACTATCATTTTGTTGCTCAAATTGTCCTAGATTTTCCATTGGGAGTACCTTCAAGTTGGATCCTGTGTCCTTCTGACGCATCCCCATCATTCTGAGAACTTCCTTCCTTTCTGGCACTCGAAGACGTTCCAGGCTCATCTTGTACCTTACGTTCTCCAAAGGGGTCGGGTTCCTTTTCCTGGAGAATGGAATTTAAAAACCAAGATCTGGGTGCTGGGTCGGGTGACCAGCCATCCCAGTTTGCCCAGGACTAAGGTGTTTCCCAGGATGTGGGGCCGTCAAGTGCCAAAACTGGAACAGGAGCTCCGTGTGATGTTAGGTGTGTTCACGGCTACTGTGTGGTTGCTTCTATGTCCCGTCAGCAGACAAAGCTCGGAGATATACACGTATGCACTCACGCATGCACACACACTTTAGTATTTCTAAATCTGATGATGGGTAGATGGATGGACAGAGACATAGATAAAAATTTATATATCTACTATGTATCTGTGAAATCTATTATTTTTATATATATCTACCTAAGGGAGCCCTGGTGGCACAGTGGTTAAAGCACTTGGCTGATAACCTAAAGGTTGGCAAATCGAACCCAGCAACCGTTCCTTGGGAGAAAGATGTGGCAGTCTGATTCTGTAAAGATTACAGCCTTGGCAACCCTATGGGGCAGTTATTCTCTATCCTATAGGGTCGCTGTGAATTGGAATCAACTCGATGGCATTGGTTTGGTTTCTTATTGTTGTCGTTTATATCTACCTATCTGTTGTTGTTGTTAGGTGCTGTTGAGTCAGTTCCGACTCATAGTGACCCTGTGTACAACAGAACGAAACACTGCCTGGTCCTACGCCATCCTCACAATCCTTGTTATGCTTAAGCCCATTGTTGCAGCTACTGTGTCACTCACTCCATCTCGTTGAAGGTCCTCCTCTTTTTCACTGACCCTGTACTTTACCAAGCATGATGTCCTTCAGGGACTGATCCCTCCTGATAACACGTCCAAAGTATGTGAGACACAGTCTCACCGTCCTCGCTTCTAAGGAGCATTCTGGTTGTACTTCTCCCAAGACAGGTTTGTTCATTCTTTTGGCAGTCCATGGGCTGTTCACATTATTCTTCACCCACAGCACAACTCAAAGGCCTCAGTTCTTCTTCGCTCTTCCTTATTCATCGTCCAGCCTTCACGTGCACATGAGACGACTGAAAACACCGTGGCTTGGGTCAGGCGCGCCCTCGTCTCCTAGGGGACATCTTTGCTTTTCAACACTTTGAAGAGGTCTCGTGCAGCAGGTTGGCCCAGTGCGACGCGTCTTTTGGTTTCCTGACCGCTGCCTCCATGGGTGTTGACTGGGGATCCAAGACAAATGAAATCCTTGACAACTTCAGTCTTTTCTGTTTATCATGATGTTGCTTACTGGTCCAGCTGCGAGGATTTTTGTTTTCTGTATGTTGAGGTGTAATCCATCCTGTAGGCTCTAGTCTTTGATCTTCGTCAGTCAGTGCTTCATGTCCTCTTCACTTCAGCAAGCGAGGTTGTGTCATCTGCACATCACAGGTTGTTAACGAGTCTTCCTCTAGTCCTGATGCCCCTTTCTTCTTCGTATAGTCCAGCTTCCCAGATTATGTGCTCAGCATTCAGTTTGAGTAGGTATGGTAAAAGGATACAACCCTGACGCACACCTTTCCTTGACTTTAAACCACACAGTATCCCCTTGTTCTGTTCGAACGACTGCCTCTTGATCTTTGTACAAGTTCCTTATGAGCACAATTAAGTGGTCTGGAATTCCCATTCTTTGCAATGTCGTCCATAACTTGTTATGATCCACACAGTTGAATGCCTTAGCATAACATCTTTCTGCTATTCTCTGCTTTCAGCCAGGATCCATCTGGCATCAGATGGATCAGGATATCCCTGGTTCCACGTCCTCTTCTGAATCTGGCTTGAATTTCTAATCCTGAGTTCACACTGATAGCTCTAACTCCAGTCTCCCCTTTTCTTATTTGGAACTCTTTCTTCAATAGTGAGAAATCTCTCATTATCAACAGTATACTTACTTGCTGGAGCCTAGTATATACCTAAGGTCATCTCAGAGTTGCTAACCCAGCCCCCTTGGAGAAACAAACTTACTGACTGGGGTACAGTAACCGTGAAGTCCTTGACAACGCAGTGCAGTCAGAGTGCTGTCACCCCAAGTTTCCTAGGTTCTCTTCTTCCCCATCCCCTCAGGGTGACTGTGTTCTTCCCAATCCAGGGTGAACGTTTGGTACCGTTTGTATTTCACTTTGTGCTCCTGCACGCCCTGGGGCGGGGGGTTCAGTTATTTATTTTGGGGGGTTTGTGAAACACTACCATGGCTCCAAGAGTCAGACATGCAAAAAGGGGTGCTGGGAGAGATCACACCCCCCTCATCCCTGCCCCGTCCCCGTCCTTTCCACCCTGGTCCCATACCCCCTGTAGGCAGCCCGTCTCACTACTGTCTGGCGTATCCTTCCTGTTGCCTTTGCACAAATGAGCAGAAGCGTGTATGTTCCTGTATCCCCTTCTTTCTTCCATGAAGGGAAGCAAACAATAGGTAACTCTGTCACTTTGGAGTGGTATTTTTAATAGCAGAAGACTGGAGACTGTTTAAATGTTCATCAATTGAGGACTAGTTAGAAACTCGATGGTATGCAGTAGTTGTGAGTTCTCTAAGGCTCGGACTTTCTCCTCAGTTCGCCGGGGAAGGATCCAACTCCTAGAGACTGGTGTGATGTCCTCTCCTGGCTGTCTTGGGCATCATCTGGCCAACAACTCATACACATTCACACACACATCTGTGTCACTCAGTAATGAAGTCACTCCGAAGTTCACCTTTCATCCAAAGATTAGACAGCCCCATAAAACAAAACGAGACTAATGGGCACAACAGTCCAAGAACAAGGACTGGAAGGCAGGAGGGGACAGGAAAGCTGGTAATAGGGAACCCCAGGTTGAGAAGAGACAGTGTTGATATGATGTGGGGTCATTAACCACTGTCATAAAACAATATGTGTACTGTTTAATGAGAAACTGTTTGTTCTGTAAACCTCATCGAAAGTAAAACAAAAAATAAAAAAAAGGTGTGGAACTCCTCAGGAGAGTCAGGAGGCCCAGACCCACACCGTGGGGCCAGGGTGACGGCTTTCTGGAGAAGCCAAGTGGGGAGGCCAGCCTTACCACTTGGGGCAGATTTGCTGGCCTCCTCCACCAGAATCTTTGCGTATCAGGTAGGCAGCTGTGTGGGTGGTAGTATTAGCCAAATGGTTTAACTGTGCCTGAACTGGGAATAGAAATTTCAAGTAACCTCTATTAAAAGAGCCAGTGGCAATGACAGACTCAGGAGTTGAGCAGAGAGTATTTCCTGAAGTTTCAGGCCATGCAACCAAAGGCCTGGGTTTCCCAGGCAGCTGAGGGACCGAGTCATCTCTGAGCACCTGGGAGGTGACAAGCAGGAGGGAGTGTGCTGAAGGTGCAGGAACACCTGAAACAAGAGTGGGCAGTTTATAAGTTTTCAGTCTGTCCCCAAGAAGCTTAAAAACTCAGCACATTCTACTAGACAGAAAGACAGAGATTAAATCGGTTGGAGACAGTGAGAAAGTACGAAGTGTTTGTTAAAGAGAGACTGGAACTTTATTATAGAGGCTTTCTCCCTGATGAAATCAGAATTGAAAAGTACACTAGAAAGGTTCAGTTCTGTAGAGAAACAGCAACTGTTGAGGCACAAATACTTACAGCTCTCCTCTTGGGGGATCTCTGGGTCCTAGATTTCCCCCAGACCCCAACATCCCCAAAGAGTCAGAATTCTGCTGGAAATCCACCTCCACAGAGCTGGGCAAAACCAAGCACTTAGTACATGTGCTGAGTGAGTGACAGGCCTGCGGGCAGGCAGGGAGGAGGTGAGGCAAGGGGTGAGGAGGAGAGAAACAGTTCAGAGAGAAGAGGATTATGGACAGAAAAATAGGAGGAGGAAGAAAAGTGCAAAAGGCGAAGAAAGAAACAAAGAGCACACCGATAATGCAGCCCCCAGAATCTAAACATAGTGTGAATTCATTCGCCTCATTCCACCCACCTTCCCCAAAGCAAAGGTGACATCAACAGCTATGACAATGCCCATACAGTGCTGCCACCGCTTGCTTCCCTTACTGCACTGAGAAACACAGATGTGCATTAAGGAACGTTAAGGGGAGAGGTGGGAGGGCAGACCCCAGGAGGGTGAATGAAGGAGAGAGAAGGCAAAGGTTTTAGGTTTTTTCAGAAGAAAAGTCCAGGCAATTCCAGCTCATCAGCCCCTGGTCAGCAGGCTCCTTACTGCCCCTTAGAGCACTCCCTTTCCTTCTCTGGTTGACTCCCTCCTTAGAGTGTCCTGGAGGCTGTGCAGCCTCTGGTTTTCTTGTTGGAGGTTCCAGGCCTTCTGCAGAGCCAAAAGCGGCAGCCACCGTGCAGCATGGACCAGAGCACTAACAGTTCTCTGCGCGGCCCTAATCTGATGGCCACTGGCTCCCAATGCCCGAATCTCAGATTGCCTTGCTTCACTTCCACTCTGCTCTGGTCCAGGAGGACCTTCTGAGCTAGGCCCCGTATTTGAGTCCCCAGGACAACTGACGCCCTGTGCTGAGAGAAGCCCCTCCAGGCAGCCCTAGCCAGATGGGGGCAGACCACTCCCCCATCCACATTTCCTCAAGAGGCTGCTGCTGACCTCCAGGCGCCGCCCTCCAGGCTCTGCCCGCCCCGCTCTCCATGTGCACGCCAGCCAGGCAGGAATCTCCCAGGAGAAGGTCCTTCTCTGCGCCCTCTCATCTGTGGTATCTCCCTAATTCCTCTTGGACAACATCCACACATATTCACACTCTGGTTTTTGAAGGCCTGGCTTTCCCAAGGTGCAGAGACGTGGACATCGGTATCTAGTTCAGGTGGGAAACTGAATGTTAACAATGGCACAGAGTAGCTGGAGCTGGTTCTGACTCATGAAATTACTCCAAGTTCCTTGTGTTTGGTGCATCAGGGAATGGAGAAGAGGAGGAAAGCAAAAGCCAGGGTGGTGAAAACTGGGAAGAAACGATTCTTTCGCCAAGTGTTCCCACAGAGAAAGCGTGGAAACGTCTCCTCTGAAATTCAGGAGAGGCTGGCTGCTCGAAGTCCCGCATGAAAAGGAGCAGGACCTCCATTTTCCTCTGAAACCCAGCGCCTCTGGGATCTGAGTTTTCCAAGACATGCAACAGACAAAAGTCACTGCAAACCAACTAACGCTCTGAGCCCTTCCAGTAATCTCACTGAAGTCACTTCCAGAAAGTAAGTGACCTGAATACACTGTGAACACTCCCATTCCTCTTGGGGCTGATAACAGGACCAGCTCCACCTGGCTGGGAAGTCTGCATCAGAGAACTGGCCGTGGAGGAGGCAGCTCCTATCCTAACCTGGGGACTCCCCTGCTCTTAGGGGCCTGGCAGCCTACAGCACTGCCCTGCCCTGCCCCGTGAGGAAACAGGGAAGAGGTCCTGGGGATAAGCTCAAAACTCAGGAAGAGTTAGACCCAAGAGATTGCCCACTGTTGAAAGTCAGCCTGAACTTCGGAGGCAGCAGAGGGCTGGGGAGCAAACAGAAGACTGTGACTGTGGAAGGAAACCAAAATGGACCTGAGGAGCCCCCGTAACTCAGGTCTTCACTCTTCCTAGCTCATAAGGAAAAATTTCAGCTGCTTTTAGCTGATTTGACCCTCATTAATCAGTACATACTAGAATGTAGCTGTGCCCTGTCCCTCCAAGAGAAGGCCCTGGAAAAGCAGCTGTAGCCTGACTCGCCTCAATCAGGCCTCCTAATTGAAGCAACAAGATGAGCACACTATAATTCACAGTTTCTACTGTCCTCCCCTGACCCACGGCCTCGGTTAAATCCCAAATCTCCAATGCCTACTTCTCGCCCGGTGTGGCTCAAAAGGTTAATAAACCAGGACTTTTCAGACAGGACACAAGCTCATTCACCAATAGGAACTCGAGAATGGCCGCGCAACAATCTAGTGTTTCCTATAGCGATTCTTTGGGGTTTCTCCACACCCTGTCTTGTCACAGTTCAGAGCACCTGGATTCTTCCCCAGCCCGAGGCTACCCAGGAGGCTGGGAAGCTCATGGGTGATGGCCCGCTCAATCTTCTCCAGAAAGCAACCTCCCATGTAGGAGCACTGCTGGGAGAGTAGTTTGAAACTGGAAATGGGGTTGATGCCAAAGAAGTCCTTGTAGGCCTCACGGTTGGGAAGATCAAATTTGCTGACATTGGTCTTTGCCAGGATGGTCTTGAAGATGTAGAATTTATCAGGATCTTCTACGATGTCCTTAAAGACCAGTTCTCCATCACTGAAGAAGGTCATTTTGTCCTTGTAAGTCTGCAGATAGCGGTCAACCAAGAGGGCATGGATGCGGACCCGGATAGCGTGCTGGCGGATGAAGGCAATCTTATTCTCCAGCCTGTTCTCAATCACCTGGTTCAGGTCTTCCAGGAGGGAGATCTCTTCTTCTAGAAACAGTTCCCGGTGGGTGTCGGGCTTATAGTCTTGTTGCCAGAAGGAGCTGACATAAACTCTTGGGGGCTCTGTGACATTGATGAGAGGGGCCAAGCTCCAGAAGAGAGCACCGTAAACCCGCATGAGCATTTGGGTGGCCAGGCTGTCGGCCTTGTTCAGGATGATCCTTATCTGGGATTCACGTCCCTTCAGCTGGCGGAAGAGCAGCTCCAGCTCCAGACCCACGTCCAGCTTGGTTGGGTCAAAGACGACAAAGATGAGGTCGGCCCTGTCGATGAACCACTGGCACACGTCATTGAAGGGGTAACCTTTGGGAAGCAGGAACGAGAAGGCAAGCTGAGTAGGCATTCCTTACAACCTCCTCACCTCCTTTCAGAACTAAACCATTCCGGGGGCTGAAAGAGGTAAGAGCACTAGGGTTTTTCTCCGTTTCTAAAAACTTGTAAAGAATTAATGGCGTATCTCCTGTTCTCTTGTCAACCTTCAACCAAGAATAGCCTGATCCTTGTCTTAAGCTACAGTGGAATCCAAGTCTACAGGGAAATGAATTTTTTTTTTCTAAAATGGAGATTTTCCTACTGTCTAAAAAGACCTGGGGCAATGGCAAAGATGCTGAAGCAAAGAAGTCAGGGAATTGAAAGAAAGTGTGAGAGAGGATGCTTTTAGTGTAACCGTATATCCGCCACTTTTTATGCCTCTGGACCTTGTCGGTAGTACGTTATTCCGGTTCTAACGCATTTAGCGTCAAAGTGAGTGAAGCTCAGCAGACCGGAGTTGGAGCCTCATTGTTGTGTAGGTTGAGCATTCTATTAGGTGATGCTTCCTGGATGTGTTATTTTTGTAAACTTCTGCATTTTTTTCCTTTATGTCTGTGAGATAAGGCTTGCAAGCGTGATTATGGCTTTCCTGCGTGATCGTTAGGGAGCCCTGATGGGTTTGTTTTGGTGTTTCTGTGTCATATTTAGAAAAGCAGAGGTTCCCCAGGTAACCTAATGGCAAGGCGCCTGCAATAAATTCCCTATTTAGCTCTTACTGATACACTGTCATACTACCAATTGGTGGCTTGTATTACCAGATCATATCTCTCAAAATCCGTAACTCATATCAAAAATCTGAATTGGTCTTTGAATCAGCATGCCATAATTAGTGAAAACGCATAGCATCAAAAAAATTTTTTTTAATTAAAATTTAGGAACAAAAGGGTTTTTAAGGGAAAGAAATGGGGACCTAACATCAAGGCCTAGATAGGAAGTTGGGCTTCACCACTGGCGAGCTGCACAGTAAAGGTTTCTAAGCATTCGCTTTGTAGCTACAAAACGACAAGAATGCCGACAATACCTAAGTTGACAGAAAGACACCTATGTTGCTAGAAATACCGGGAAAAGCCTAAGTAACACAGCGCCTGTGGCCTCCTAGGCGCTCAGTGTATTTTAATTCCCTTAATCTCGTTTCCTCCGTTTTCTTGTTTTCAAAATGAGACTAGGACCACCCACCTTGGAAAGTTTTTGATGATGATCAATCAATGATGCATAAAATTACCCAGTGCAGGACACGAGTGCAAGAAATGTTAATTTACTATTCCAGTTATTGGTGATAATATCATCGCTAATAACAAAACAGGGTCTGGTAAGAACCAACGTAGAAGTTAAAGCTATAAAGTGAGATCTGCCATCTGGTCGTGTATTCCTCCAAGTGCCCCGACAGCACTCACCCGGGCGTACAGCCCTGTTACGGCAGTACCTGGTGGCCTACCACATCGTGTCATAGCCTAGAACCCTCGCCTGAAGGCAAGAAGGGCTTTGGAAAACCTGACATTTATGTTGAAGCAGGCCTGGTAAAGCAGGGACTGGGGATAGGAAGAGTCCCAGACCCAAATTAGCGAGATGTTAAGTATGCCTATATTGGGATAAATCCAGGCCCTTGATCACTCAGGACCAAATAAGCCTCACAAAGACAACTGGGCCCCAGCTTGGACCTTCAGGAGCTGTATCCCAGGAAGACCAGCCCCCCACTTAGGAAAATACTGGTTATCTCCAGACCAAACCAGTTCTTGGGGAGGAAGGAGGACAAGGTCCTCCAAAACCTAAGTGGCACCACAGTGACAACCAGGAGGTGAGAGCAAAGGGGGTGTATCTCCTGGTCTTGGGGAACACTGGCCACATTTTCTCTCCCCTTCCTGTCTGCCCCTCTGTGGAAAATAGTCTTCTAAGGCAAAGCTCATGCTTTTCAGGAGTGAGCGCTGAGTTACCTCTTTCTTGCTGTTTGCGGTTCTCAATGATGCCTGGTGTATCCACAAAAGTGACCCGCTCCAGAAGTTTGTGAGGGACTTCGATGCCAATCAGCTTCTCCAGAAAATTCTGACCGAATTTCTCAAGGGGTGAGAAGGACCGGGTGCTGTCAGCAGCCATGACGATGCCCTCGATGGTTTTCAGCTTGGGCCCGTGCATGAGGACCGTGAACTCAGAGGTGGTGGGCTCAGCACCTGCACGAGGGGATAAGCATCAGTCAGGAATGCAACACACTCTGGGAAACAGGCCAAGGGTCCCAGAGGATGCGGGTAAGCAAGGTGTTTCCGGGAGTGTTTTGCCACAGGAACGGGATTCTGTGTTTGCTAAGGTGCTGGTTTCTTACCTGCGTTTTTCATTTTTCTGTTGAAGACTCATCTAAATCTTTTAGTTTTCGCACTGCTTTTACATGGGACATTTGAATTCCAACAATCACACAAGAAAACCTATTACCTGTATAGAGCTGGTAGCGAGTGTTCTCCAACGCAAGGAGGTAGTTTATCATGGTTGATTTACCGACGCTCCACGGTCCAAGGAACAGCACCATGGGCTTGGAAATGATTTCCGCGTCTGCGGGCAACAGGAATTAGACACGTAAGTGAACCAACAAGGTTTCTTACTCCAGGAGTGGAACGTTTGTTCACAGCACTCTGTCTGCCCAGACAGTCCACCTAATTGGGTTGTGGAGCAGTCAATGATACTTTTCTTGCTTTATAAGTGGATCACCTAGTTAAAAAACAACAGAAGACATGACTTTGGCCTTGTACAGATCTTGGCACATCTGCACCAGAAGGAGGAGATGAGTGAATTCAACAAACACTGACTCAGAGCTCACTATGAGTGAGGTGTCCTGGTTTGGATCTAAAGGAGACTAGTTAACAGGGAAGGGCAGAGCTTTTACATGGAGAGAAATGAAACTTGTGCTCTCTCAAATAATATCAGATAAAGAGGGATGTGAAAGATGCTGACAGAACCTTGAAGATCTGGACAGCAGGACAGCAGGCCCTGCCTGTCCTCAGCCTATGTAGCTCCCCCCACCCCCTTACCTGTGGCCACCAAAATCTGTAAAGATTTCAAACCTGCTGCCATCGAGTCAATTCCAATGCATAGCAACCCTACAGGACCAAACAGAACTGCCCCGTAGAATTTCCAAACCTGCAAATCTTTAGGGAAGCAGACTGCTACATCTTTCTTTGGCAGAGCGGGTGGTGGGTTCAAACTGCCCCTTGGACACCCTATGGGGCAGTTCTGCTACTCTGTCCTGTAGGGTTGCTGTGAGCTGAGCCCACCGGACAGCAACAGGTGTGGGTTTTTTTGGTCCCTATCTACTCAAACCAAATGAGCCCGTTGCCATCGAGGTGACTCTGACTCATGGTGACCCTGTAGGACAGGAGAACCACCCCCAAAAGGTTCCCAAGGCTGCAGTCTTTACAGAAGCAGACTGCCACATCTTCCCGTGGAGCGGCTGGTGGGTTCAAACTGCTGACCTTTTGGTTAGCAGCTGAGTGCTTTAACCACTGTGCCACCAGGGCTCCTGTCTGTCCAATAGGTGATGATTACAAAGGAACTTTGATAGAAAATATGTCCTCTGTAACAACACGATCTTTCTGCAAATGGGTCTTGGTTTCTTAGGTAACTCGCAAGTCACTTCTGAATTACTCCTTCACCTGCATGTCTCCAGATTGCTGGGACTTTGTCACTCACAGGTTCTTTGTGGTTTTGTCTTTGCCCTGTTCTTGAATACACAGAATGTCAACAATACTAGCATGCTTAAAACAACAGTCAGCATCAGATAGGTTATAATTGAGAGCTTAAACAGAAAGCAGACTATGTTAAGGAGCCATGCAACAGTTAAACACACATCTCCTAACCTGAAGGTCAGCGGTTTGAAACTCTCAGCGGCTCCGTGGGAGAAAGACCTGACAATCTGCTTGCTAAGATTTCAGCCTTGGAAACCCTATGGGGAAGTGCTACTCTCTCCTACAGGGTTGCTAGGAGTTGGAGTTTGGTTTTGTTCCCAGTGGCCTTCCAAAGGCCATGTTGGAGAGAATACCCTGCCTGGGCCACTCCATTTGGGGTCAATAAGAAGAAAAAGCAGAGTCCTCCAGTGGGTGGGTGTGAGAGGCTTTTCAACGTGGGATGTGGCCAGTTTGGTGGTGGATTTTCAGCCTCCACTCCCACAGCGCTTCTCTGAACTAGCACATAGGGTCAGCCCTGCAGAGTTCAGCACCTTGCGTTCTCCAGGCCTCTTTGTCTCTTGAGCCTGGCAGACAGTCCTAAAAACAGTAGGCATGCAGTATTTTTCATTTATTTTAAAATTTTTAATTAATTTCTTGGTTTGAAAATCGGAAGTATAAAGAGGTGTGCCGTGTAAGTCTCCCATCGCTGTCCGTCGGCCCAGGCCATCACTCCCCCACTAAGAGGTAACTCTAGAGATTTCTCACGTGTCCTTCCAGATATTTCAATGCATGTAAGCAGTGTCATTGTTGCTGGTTGCCATCGAGTTGCTTCAGACTCATGGTGACCCTTGTATGCAAAGCGGAACTGTCCCTTAGGGTTTTCAAGGCTGGACCTTTCGAAGGCAGATCACCAGGCCTGTCTTCCAAGGCAACTCCGGGTGGGTTCAAACCACCCACCTTTTGGCTAGTAGTCAAGCACTTAACCATGTGCAACACCCAGGAGCCTATGAGCAATGTTCGTATGTATCACAGTCCCCATCTTATTTATACAGACTAGTACACCTTGCTTTTTGATGTATGATTTTCTTTCTCTAAGGTGAAGCTACGGACCCCCTGGTGGGGCAGTAGTTAAAGTGCTGGGCCGCTAACTGAAAGGTTGGCTGTTTGAACCCACCTGCCACTCCACAGGAGAAAGACAGGCAGTCTGCTCCCATAAAGATTACAGCTTTGGAAACCCTATGGGGCAGTGGTACTCAGTCCTATATGGTCACTATGACTCAGAATCGACTCAGTGGCAATGGGTTTTGGGTTTAAGGTGAAGCTAAGTCCTAGGAGACCAAGATGGTGACTTATAAATGGTGGGCACATATGTGTTGCCTGAAAGTGATCCCACGCCCGGCCCCTCCCAGCCACCTGTAAATACAGCAAGATGCACAGGCTCTCTGGTTGTCAACCCTGTCTTGGGGGCAGGAAGGGACAGGCAGGCTGAGGGGGAGGCAGGAAAACCCTGTTATAGCCAGAGAGAGTCCATACGGAGTCTCTTTTAAACAGGCCCAGAGGCTGAGGGAAACTCTGGGCTTCCAGCTCTCAGAGACAGGCCACAAGCAAGGCTTTTCTGGGGTGCTGCTGTTTTAGCACTCCCCAGAGGGGGGCACTGCGGGCACGTGGAGCAGGCCACAGATGAGACACTGGGGCACAGGGTGATACAGGAGCTGCCCAGAGGCACTGGCAGGAGACTCAGGAGACCCGAGAGACAGAAGAGCCAAGTCCAGACAGTGAGAGCGGCACCAGGAACCTGCGTGCCTCCCTCGGGAGCACCGTTCCCTGGGCACGTGGGAGACCCCTCGCCTCTGCTGCTGTCGGGGCTACAGTGTCTAAGGAGGGCCACACCACATGGTCTGAAAGCTGGGAGAGAAGGACAGTGTCATGGATTGAATTATGTCCCCCAAAAAATGTGTGTGTCAATTTGGCTGGGCCATGATTCCTCGTATTGTGTGATTTTCCTATATGTTGTAAATTCTGCCTCTATGATGTTAATGAGAGAGGATGGGCAGCAGTTGTATTAGTAAGGCAGGACTCAGTCTACAAGATTGGATTGTGCCCTGAGGCAATCTCCTGAGATATAAAAGAGAGAAGTGAGCAGAGAGACTGGGGACCTCATACCACCAAGAAAGCAGTGCCAGGAGCAGAGAATGTCGTTTCGACCTGAGGTCCCTGCGCAGAGCTCCTAGTCCCGGGGAACATTGATGAGAAGGCCGACAGAGAGAGAAAGCCTTCCCCTGGAGCTGACACCCTGAATTTGGAATTTTAGCCTACTTTACTGTAAGGGAATAAATGTCTCTGTTAAAACCATCCCCTTGTGGTATTTCTGTTACAGCAGCACTAGATGACCAAGACAGATGGTGTAGAGGACAAAGACAAACACCTGAGAGACTCTAACTCACACCAGTGCCTATACATCCACGATGAAGCAGGAGAGAAGCGTTTGCCTTGAGACTTGCCAGAAATGGACACCAAAACCATACCAAACCCACTGCTGTCGAGTCTACTTGATTCCAACTTGTAGTGACCCTACAGGACAGGGTAGGGTTTCCAAGGCCATAAATCTTTATGGAAGCAGACTGCCACATCTTTCTCCCACGGGGCAGCTGGTGGGTTTGAACTGCTGACCTTTCAGTTAGCAGCCAAGTGCTTGACCACTGCACCATCAGGGGTCCTTAAAACAGGGTATTCATTCCCTCAGAGAAGTGGAAAGTTGTAGCCCCTAATTCCACCTGTGTGACCCCGGGCAACCCAGAAGTTCTCCAGGCAGCAGGTCCCTCTTCGGTAAAGTGGGAATAATATCTACCATCTAATACTCTACCTAAAGAGTCCTGGTGGTGCAACAGTTAAGCACTTGGCTGCTAACTGAAAGGTTGGTGGTGTTTCAAACCCACCCAGTGGCTCCGCAAGAGAAAGACCTGGTGATCTGCTCCTGTGAAGATTACAGCCTAGGAAACTCTATGGGGCGGTTCTACTCTGTCACGTGGGGTCACTGTGAGTCAGAATTGACTCGATGGCACCCAGCAACACTAATACACACAGTCTGAATAACATGATCCCATTTTTTAAAAACAAAGAGATATACTTTTATGTGCTTACGTATGCCAAGGAGATGTCTGGAAGTATTCACAAGAAACTGTGACAATGAGTGTCTTTGGGGGTGGAATTAGAGAAGGTAGAGATCAAGAAAGAAGTTTTTATTTTTCAATTTATACTGTTTCTGGGTGGCTGGATTTTTTTTCTTGTGTATCTGATGCTTTATTATTTTGAAAACCAATTTTTAAAAGAACCCAGACCCACAGGAAGCAGAATGAGAGATAAGGGAGAGGGAAGGAATCTAGGCCAGTCAGAGGAGTTAAGTAAGACACGACGCCAAAGTGAAAACGGAGCCCTTGTGGGCCCTGAGCATTAACACATATGGAAATCAAAATCTGAAGTGCTGGAGCATAACTGCTGATATGTGAAATACTACCCGTAATTTGTAAAATTATGGAGCACTCTCCATACTAGGAAGAAAGGCCTGGCAATCTACTTCTGAAAATCAGCCAGTGAAACCCTACAGATCACAACAGTCCAACCTGCAACAGATCTTGGGAATAGTGCAGGAACAGGGAGCATTTTGTTCCGTTATGCATGGGGTCTTCATGAGTCGGGGCCAACTTGAATTCAGCTACAGACAACTCCCAATGAAAGGGATGGTTCGCAGGCACGTGGTGGAGTACGTGAACCACGTGGGTGGCGGAGAGGCCTTGGCTTCCAACCCCTACCTTCAGGTGCAGCCCCATCTCTGGGTCCACGAGGCTATACCTGTGATCTCATGCTGCCGAAGCTCACTGTACTTGTAAGACTGCTCCAGGGGCTTGATGGACGAGTGGTAGATCTTTCGAAGCCGCTGCAGCACGGCTGGGGGCAAAGCGAAGGGAGAGCGTCAGGCGGGGCAGATGGCACTCAGCGTTGCGTGTGGGGTTGGCCTGGTAGAAGGAGGGGCCTCGTGCCACCCAGCGACTACGTGGTATGTCCTCTCTACTCCCACCCTACGGTGCCCGCCGCAAGCCTAGAAGGCTGGGAGGCATGACACCTAGTAGGCCACGCACAGCGACCCTGCGCCTTCACCATTACTGCACTCTCGGGTGGACCCCAGGTGTCCTCCTGCAGAGAGCACAGCTCTGTGACTCCAGGACAAGTCGGGACGCCTGCAGGGGTGAGGCTGCAGGACAGAGGAAGGGACATAGAGCCGAGGGTCAGGCTAGCCAGACTCGCCTTGCTCAGCACCTTCCGGTGTGTGTCAGAAGCACATGGCTGCCCTGCTCTGAGCTTCAGGTAGCTCATCAGCAAGAGGACACACTAATCCTCGGGCTGCTACGAGGAGGCAATGAAACACCGCACACGAAAGGGCTTTATAAACGGCAAACACACACACACAAATGTGATGGACTATTAACAGTTCTCCACTGCCGGGACAAGCTGCATCAGTCCCCGTGGTGGCAGCATACGGCCACCTCCACGTGTGTCGATCCCTTTGCCTGGACTGCCTTCCCTCCTCTCTGCCAATCCAGAGCTCTCCGCCTCAGACGCTGCACACAGCCCCCAGCTCCACCTGTGTGGTTCCGAGCTCAGCCCGCTCTGCTCTGGCCTCCTGGGCCCTGCCTGGCCGCTGGCCACATGGCTGCCCCAGCCCCAGCCGCAGTGCCCTCGTGTTACCCGAGTACTCGTCAGCTGGCTTGTCCTCATTCAGCATCAGGGTTTTCTCAATGTGGGAACGGTCCCGCAATGGGGCTTCTTCACTCACATCCTCCGTCTCTTCTGGGGAGAGAAGCACAGAGGAGAGTCAGGTGAAAGCCGGCTAAGGGCCAGCTGGACTCTAAGGCCCTGCAAAGACGGGCGGGGCCAGCCTGGGGCAGGTGCTCAGTGAAGCCTTGCCAGGTGCAACTGAACTGAGTTCTGTAGGACAGCATTTGAAAATCCAAACTCAGTATCTGTTAAACTCCATGATCCATTTTACTTATTTGAGAAATATGTATTGAGCACTTACTGCATGCTGAGCACCAAGCATCCTGCTGGGAATACAGTGGTGCACAAAACGGCTCCCACCCTTGTCATAATTACAGACTGGGATGTGGGCTATGGAAGGAAAAACTCAAGAAGCTATGAGGTTACTGAATATTTTGATCAAAGACTACAGAAGAACTCTGATCAAAAGGGGGAAAAAAAGAACAATTTCAAATTCTTAGCGGAATCCAGACTTTCTAGAGCCACTGAGGCTGGATGAACCCCTGAAACTACTGCCCTGAGATAATCTTTAAACCTTAAACCAGAAATATCCCCTGAAATCTTCTTTATACCAAACAGTAGTTTAGCTAAACTAGTAAAAAGTATCTGCCTGGAGCATTGTGCTTTTTTAAAGAACTATCTATATAGCATCAAACTGACAATAGCAACTCAAAAGATTAGATAGGAAACTTAGGGGACAGTGTTTGTTAGCGGGGGAGGAACAGTTTGGAAAAGGAGGAAGAATGTTACCCATGTAAAGTGTACGTGCAGAAACTGCTGGTGTACGTTCTGCGTGCACTAACAAGCTGCCGACCCAGCCTTAGCAAAGGCAGCCAGAGGAAGCTCCCCCAGGAAGCCGCGTGTCGGCTGAGGTCTGCCGTCTAAGTGCGTCAGGGGAGGGGGGCGGGTTCCAGGACAGCAGAGGTGTCTGTGAACTCCCCTGGACGGGAGTTAACCAGAGACGGGAAGGGGGCCGAGGTGCTGGACCACAGTGAAGGGTAAATGGCGGAAGCCGGAGAGTTCAGCGGGAACCAGGGAGGAGCGCTAAGCAGACAGCTGATGTAACTAAGCGCTCTATCAGGACCCCACTGGGTGGGGGGTGGAGGATGGGTGGGCAAGGGCTGTTGCAGGGGGCGGGGGTTCTTGTCGGAGTTTGACCAGCAGATACCATGACGGCCCGCAGGCTCCTAGGATGGGGATGCTCCCACCCCGGACCCCTAACATTGCAACTGTTTCTACCCAGGCTGATTCCACAAAGGACTTGGGGTGACCGGGAGGGTAAGGGGCTTAGATCACAGGGCACAGGAACATCAGTTTCACTTGGGACGGGAAGCAGAGAAGTAGCGTTCCTTGGGCAGCAAGTCAGAGCTTGATTCTTCACCTGGATCAGACCCAGGCCCCCCCACGCCCAGAGGGAGGACAGGGAAGGGGAGGGGCTTAGCCTGCAGGTGCCCCTCCCTGGATAGAGTGTGCAGGTGCCCAACAAGGGGCGGTGGTGAGTGCTGTGGAGTCGATTCTGACTCACAGTGACCCCGTGTGACAGGGTAGAACTGCCCCATAGGGTTTCCAAGGCTGTCATCTTTATGGAAGCCAACTGCCACATCTTTCTCCTGCAGGGCCGCTGGTGGGTTCAAACCACTGATTCAGTTAGCAGCAGAGTGCTTAATCATTCAGCCACCAGGGCTCCTTCTCAACATGTAAATTCCTGCAAGGAAGCTTGTGGGGGAGGCATCTTGGGAAGTGGAGGATGGACCCTCATCCCTCTAGTGGGAAAGCCCAGCTTGTGGTCCAAGTCAGCGTACTTGGTGGATGAGGCTCTGAGGAGCGCTGACCCTCCCTGGGGCCTGCTCAGTCTCTGGAACGCTGCTCAGTAGCTCTGCCCCTGACCTCCACATTCCCCCAGCCCTGAGAGGTGGCTGCCCCTGCACCAGGTGGGCCCCAGTGGTCACAGCCAGACCTCCCATCAGTGTGCTGACCCACCAATGGGATCCCCCGGGGGTCCCTCCCCCCGCCTGCAGTGGGGCCTCAAACCCCACCGCTACTCCCTTAGTCCTTGAGGTTAAGGCACTGATCCGTGTAGGAGTGCATCTAGGGCCCTCAGTGGACTCCCAAGGGCTCGACTCAGGAGTGACCAGGTACTCTGGCCCTCCATGGCACAGCCTGGCATTCAATCCCTCCAAACTGGAGGGAGTGGCTAATGAGCAGCCCAAAGGGACCTCCCTGGGCCAAGTGCCCTGGATAGGGCGTCCACCTAACCACCCACCCTGTCCCTGACTGTCCCTCTGCCCACAAGACTTCCTGGGAGACTGCTGGGGCTGCTTCTAAGAACTCCAACCCTTGAGGAGTGAGCGTGGGAGCCCCCTACCCTGCTGCCCCTCTTCAGGGTCCTCTGCCTCAGCGTTCTGTGCCTCGATGCCCTTGGGCCCTGTACTCAGTTCCTCTGCGCTGGGCTGGGCCCCCTCCTCCCCGAGGCTTGAGCTCTCTGCTGATTCCTGGGATCCCCCGGCTTCCTCCGAGCCAGCAGACCCTGCTTCTTCTGAACTAGCCCCACTGCCACTGTCCTCTTCGGATCCTTCAGAAGGCATTCCTTCCTCGTCTCCAGCGTCAGTGTCACCCTCTTCTTCCGAAGAGGACTCATCTGGGCCCTGCACAGGCACCTCCTGGGGTGGGCCCTCCGGGGGACCGTCCTCCTTGGTCTGCCCCGCCTCGGAGCCCTGTGCTCCCCCGGCCTCTGCGCCAGCCTCCTGGCTGGTGCTGGGCTCCCCTTGGTCCTCTGGCTCCTCCTGGTCCTCAGGCCCTGCCCTGGCTTCTGGGTCAGCGTCAGCCTCTGACGACTCTTCCAACGACTCGACCTCTGGGACTCTGCCTGGCACTTCTGGCTCCTGATCAGGCTCGGAGCTGCCCTTGCCTTCTAGCTCTGAGGCGCCAACTTCCTTGCCCTCTCTGCTACAAAAGGCCCCCGAGGCGTCAGGCTCCACTGTCCCTGCTGCTGCTGCTTTCTGTCCAGGATCGTCCTCTAGAGCTGCCTCAGCTTCCTCAGGGGCCACGACGCTCCCAGCCTGGCCTGCCTCCCCACTGACCGCTCCCACCATGGGGAGCCCGCTCCCAGCCTCCTGGTCTCCTGGACCCTCTCCCGGACTGAGCTCTGGCTGAGCCTCTTCCCCTTCTGGAGGAAGGGCACTTGCTCCTGGCGGGCCCTCTTCTTCCTCCCCAGGTCCAGCAGCGTCCCCGGGCGGAGCAGACTCTGAGGCTGAGGCATTGGAGAGGCTGGCTTCTGGGTCAGCACCCGGGCCTGCCGCCGCAGGAGAGGCCCCCGGGGGGTTCTTCTCCAGGCTCTCTGCCTCACTGCCATCTGGGAAATGGGGGAGCAGGGTCTTCTCTGGAGGGACCGCATCTGCATAAAGCACCCTCTCCTTCTCCTCTAGACTTGCATCTCCAGCAGAGAACTGATTCTCCAACAAATTGGCAACATCTTCTGTGCCACCCGAGGCAGAGACTTGCAGTTCTGAATGATTAGAACATTATTGGTCAGTTTCACAGGGTTGGCACTTGCGCTGCTTCTCACAAGTGTCTAAATAAATCTAGCTCCCATCTTCTGGAACTGTGGTGTGGACCTGCCGAGCAGCGTCACACCCATCCCCTGGGTCTTCTTAACTACCCTGTGTGACAAGCAGTGTTGTTCTCCCCTCACGCAGAAACCACAGATCAGCGAGGGAGAGGACTGCCCGCCCACTGTCCATCCCAAAGGGAGTCAGCAATTGGACTGAACCGAGGGCCTGCTCTCCTGCCCTTGACCTTGGACTCTCCCTCTAGCTCCTGGTGACTGCACATGGATGGAAACTTGGGCGAGCCCTTCAAGCCCTTTCTCAACCTTGCTAATGGGCACGTGCAGCCTGGCCTACCAGGAGATCCTTCCAAGACCTAACAAATCCGTGTGCATTCCACCCTCATCAGTTCCTAGAGTCATTCAGCAGCCAGCTTTTTATAACCCTGTCAGCAAAGGAGTGGAAACAGGTGTTTGCAGGCGAGATAATCTTAGGTTACAAGGCAGAGTATTTAGAGGATTACTTGTGGCTCTCGACCTTGTTAAGACACCCATCCAGCCCTGTCCCCTTAAGGGCAGGCATTTGCTGGCCTCTCTACCTCAGAGTGGCTATGGCCCAAGGAGGAGAGAGATCCAAAAAGGGCAGGGCCTGGGCTTCCCGGTGGCCTCAGCCAACGCCTCCTGAGGGGATCCCCTTCTAAGGGCTGACAGTTTTACCGGGAGAGCTGCAGGCACAGAAGAGCCCAGTGGGAGGAGTAGAGGGGGGCTTGGTCTCTGTAGGAGATCGCTGCCAGGGGCGAGCTTAACTGACTGGGAAAAGGGGGCAGGGCGAGCTCGCCCGGGGCGGGGAGCCTATTCGTTCTGCCCCATCCCACCCAGGCTGGGATCTGTTTGAGGAGGAGGTCCGCCACGGGAGGACAATGCAGGCTTGTCAGATGCAGGGACCATGGGAGTCCAGCTCTCCCCATTGGGCCCGTTCACCCTGATTCACAGGGCCTGGTTTCCGAGGAAGCAGCATCCCACCTCCATGCTGGGTGCACACCCCCCACCACCATGGGAAGTTTGGGGGCCCTTTTCCTATAAGTGGCCCTGATGCAGCACCATGCACAATGACCAACCCAGGTGTCCATCAAGGGATGAATGGATAACACAATGTGGTCCAGCCACATAATGGAATACTACTCAGCCATGAAAAGGAATGGAGTTCTGATACACGCTACAACACAGATGAACCTTGTGTAAGGCAGACACAAAAGGCTACCTATTGTATAATTCCACTTATATGCAATGTCCAGAATAGGTAAATCCACAGAGACAAAGCAGACGAGTGACTGCCAGGGGCTGGAGGAAAAGGAAGAGTGAGGAGGGACTGGTTAACGGGTGGAAGGGGTGATAGAAACGTCCTGGAGCCAGACAGGTGATGGTGGCACAATACTGTGAATGTACTAAATGTCACTGAACTGTACATTTTGAAATGGTTAATGGTTAT